TTGTCACCGCTGGAAACAGTTAGGTCTCGCGACCGATGTTGGTACCGATCGCAATCAGTTTAAGCGAACAAGTTGCACTTCTTGGGATGTAGGGAACTCTTTTATTTTTATTTCTTTATCTTTCTCTCTCTCGCTTGCTTTTTTTCTCTTTTCTCCTTCCTCTCTTTCTCGCTTACGCGCGGATGTCACCAAGTTCGCAGTCGCGAACGCGCTTCGCTCCGGACTGTCGCTGGAGAACAGGGAAGAGGAGCTACTACCGCGAGGGGAATCAATACCTCGGTCCTTGTGGTGGTCGAAGGGGGATTGCAGGAACGAGTGGAGGCGAGGAGGAGCGGAGAAAGCTGTGATAGCAGGAGTGGGATGCCGTAGAAGGGAAGGGTAGTTGGCACGGGGATGTCGGTAGTAGTGCCCGCGATGTGAGGTGGGAGAGCTACACTTCGGAGGCGAAACGAGGTACGAGCGAAAGGGGTGGTATGCATCATCGGAGATGAACGAGGGAGAGAAACAGGCGAAAGGAAAATACGACACGTTGCACTGATCGACGTTGACAGCCAAGTTGCTACGCGATGATTGTTACCACTGTCCCAATGACGAGTATTCGATTCGAGGGAGAATCGAGAGCTCGAACGAATTTCAATAAATGGAGGTCAATTCCCCTACTTCTTCCTTGAATACTATCTCCTCCAGAGGCAGCTGGGTTACTTTTCTGGAGCCGTGTCCTCGAACGAATTTATTTCCGGACGTCAAGGATGGCGGCGAGAAACTTTAAGCGGTTATATGAGAAGCTTTTCGATTCGATGCTATTCTGCTTTTACCTATCACTTTGCAATTTTCTCTAAAAGATTATCATAAAATTTCAAGTTTTGTAAAATTAATTTCGATACTTTTTTCTATTAAACCCCCTTTAATATATTTTCTTAAATTTCCCATAATTAAAATAAAATGATTTTCTGTAAGATTCCCGTCTTTAAGCAAAGTAAAAATATAATTAGAAAAGAGAACAGGCAATTAATGTTCAATTTTTATGTTTTGATCGCATTGACGTATTAAACATTTTCCAAGGACGACCGAATGCGCGATGCGCCGATCTTTGGCTTTTATCTATACTTGGATCTTTTATTCGCGTTTACCGTCGTGTATTTCGTTTTCGTCGCTGTAAAGGGAATCAAGGAGAAGGGTATAAAAAAAAAATAATCCTACGCGGATTATGTATAATGGGTTGGCGCGCATGCGAGCGACGTGAAGTTTTATTGAATTTTACAACATAGTTCCTCGCAGCGGAAGGCGATAAGAAATGTCGGTACCGCCAGTGGAGCGTATCGTCTTTCGTATCGGGACAATACGGTCCATTTGATTTATACGTGTGGATGGTTGAATTAGATACGTGCTAATCGATCGCATCGCTCATCAATCTATGATCTTTTTGATTCGCAACTGCGTCACTAACGCGACCGTGACGGGACGAAAAACGACGCTGAAGAATCAAAGTCATGAAAGATTTGCGCGCGTTTTGCGCATGCACCTGTTGGCGCAAGCTGCTACTCGACTTGTGCAACGATGCAGAGGTGCTCGATTCTTATTTACTCTCGCTCGGCCCGCTAATCTCGGCGCGACCTATTAACCCTTAGACGCGTGTCTTTGCGCACAAAGTGCCGCAAAAGCCCTCGACCTTTACGAGAGATTGTTATATTTCGAGAGAGCTACTAATACATTTCCCGAAATAGGAAATCTTTTCTGAATCTTTCTCTTTCTTGTAGAATGTAACGTAAAATTTGAATAATTTCTTGTAATGGAGTCCTTTAAATTATTTCAGATAGTAAAGAGTATTATCTCGCAATAAGATTAAGTTTTATGACTTTAATTACACTCTATAAGTTTAATTAGATTTCTATAATTAAATTTGAATAATTTCATGAAATGGAGTTTCTTAAATTATT